CAGAATAAATATTACATGTAGATATTGTCTTCCCAGATAGCGCATATTCAATTCTGCCTAAATTACAAAACATCATTTTTGCCCACTCCCAAAGGTTTAACGTAAGGGAAAAATTGATATTTTCAAGCACTATGTCCACATATGTATTTTTTTAAACAAACTTTTTTGCTGAGAACTTATTTAAATTCCAAAAACCGAATGCCAACTTGAATTAAAGGAACCAACACTGAAGTGAGTCAAAATGAAAATAAAAGAGCACAAATTTCTATGTAAAGCAAAACTCTCTGGGAATCCTACGAGACAGCTGCCGGTCATATGACCGGTCATCTAAATGGGAGATCTGCAGTCTTTTGGCATCATATTTTACATCAGAATTGAAGGGATTTCTGAAAAATCTGACCAGTTCTTTTGTGTAACTGTGATTTTGCATCCCTTGTCAACATATGGCCTCGGTTGATGTTAACTTAAGGTCGTTGTTTTACTGCCTTAAAATTGAAGGGAAATTTTTACAGCGTTTTTTATGTGTATTGGTTTCTATTTGAGTGTATTGAGAATCGGTCAGTCTGAAAAGGCCTTGTAGGGAAGACAATAGGTTTGCTCGTCGAAAATCCAGCGAGAATTATCACTCAAAATATCAGATAGTAAAAAAAAATGCTCCCAAATTCTCTCTCATGTAGAGAAACTTGCAATTTTCTGTACGAACGCAAATTTGCAAGTTTGCAAAAAACAGGATCTACGTGTATATATCTTATCAGTCCGACTTTCTTCAACATACGTTTCAATTTCTTTGTCGGGTTTACTATATCGACTCTGGTTGAGATTGCATTCCAATTAAGAAGAGTTTTTTTTTGCCGAGTACCTTTCAAATCATTGGAATTAACTAAATTAATTAAGTAAACAAGTATTAACTTAAATTTTTAATTTAAAAATAGCTCCAGTTTGTAAATTTTTAAATTTAACGAACTTGTGTATTCAAATTATCGTCGAAAAAAACTCCAACCATGTGCCACAATCATATGTTTTTCCTAATTGCAAGAAATAGTATTTTTACTCATGATTTATTTAAATAAAACATGTGAAATTTAGTTGAAACATTCTAGCCGTTTTTAGCCGGTTTTATTTGCCAATTTAGCCGGTTCGTCCAAAAAGTTCTGGCAACACTGCATAAGAGCAGCCGAGAATTATAAGTGGTTGGCTCTGTGTGTGTGCATATTTTTTTTTTTGTTTTCTTTGCTTAATAAGTATCAGACATCTGCAGCGGGTGCATGATTTTCGTGTATACTCGATCATCTAACAAAACCCGTTTTGCATCGTTCTCTGTATACGAGCAGAAGTATTGTTCGTTATCGACTGAGCTCAAGACGAACATGTTGGCCACAACACCCGATTGCTTTTCATACATACTTGATTGGGTTCGGGTGCTTTGCAGCTCAATATACCCGGGTGTTCGAGTTTCAACCCGAGTGTGCACAAAATTTTCTTGATTGGCTTATGACGTTTTTGTTTCTACAAAAAATGTTGCCTTCTCATCGCGGTGTTCTTAGTTTTTGTGCGTAGAGGGTAAAGAGAAGGTTGAATTTTTCGGTAGTTTGTTTAAGTGTACATTTAACCATTTCTTATATTTTTGCTCATACAAAATGCGGCATCACGACGCCTACATCCATTTAGGTATAAATGTGTGTAGATCGGCAATGCCCAAGCCCTATACACTCGGTGCACATTTATTTTTTGTAAAAGTACTTATGTACCTACATAGTTTTAGGCTGTGTTCTAATATATACACACACAGCTTTCCACGCAAAACTATACGAAATAGATGCAAAAACATTTTTGCCTACTTCGCTTCTAATTTTTTCATTGCGTATGCACAAGCACAAAGCAACAACATTTTCGTATGCTTTGTGGGAACATATTGGCGCCAGTTACCTTCAGCGTAAATTTCTTTGTTGTCCTGCATTTTATCGCAAGGTTCGGGTGTCCGTTTCATTGTTACACAAATTTTCGGGTTAGCTGCGGGTGTCCGAGTGTGGTGTTCGCTTGTGCTCAATTTATAGCGAGGGTGATCGAACAGACTCGTTCGTAACCAAAGCAGCTGTCGGGTATGCATCTCGATCGAACACATAGTAGCCGAGTGTGGCGTTCGCTTGTGCTTGATTTTTAGTGAGTGTGATCAAAAAGGCTCGATCATACTCAAAGCTGTTCTCTGATAAGTATACAATATATGTATGTATGAAGAAAGCCGTGAGCTCTATACAGGGTGTTTGCAGCATGTAGTTATTTGACTGCTTCGTTGATTGTACTATGTGGTTATCATATTCGTAGCATTTTCCGTTCCGAACCGCTTCTCACAAACTTACCCAATTCTCCATCCATTCGCAACCGACTGCCGCCGCTGCTACTACAATCTACTTGCCTGCCTGCCTGCCTGACTGGCTGGCTGTTTACTTGCTTGTTCGACACTCATATCTTATCCGTGCTCTGTTTACCCACTAGCGGATACGATCGGTCTTCCTCTACTCGCTGCTTGCCGACCGAGCGCATCTGCTATCCAGCCGTTTGGCCTGTCCCATTGCATGTAGGCAGACATACCGACAGACAAACGAACACAGATTAGCCTTTGCTGTTGGCCGATTGCGGTTGCATTGTGTGAAACAAGTTTTATTTTTTTGGATTTTTTTCTTCTTATTTTTTCGTGCCGCCAATGTTTGTAGTTAGTTGTCGTTCGTTGTTGTTGTTGCTGCTGTCATTTTGCTTGGTAAGCACACTTCCGTTTGTGGCGTCTGGGTTAGTTTGCATTGCCGTTGTCGACAACGGCGACTGCGACATCAGCAGCAGCAACAACAGCAACGTCGGACGTTGGAACATTTGTTGTGGAGTTAAGTTTCGCAAGGTAGCGGGATCTTAATAGCCGCAATCAGTTGTGCTTTGATTGTTATTTTTGTTGGTAGTGGGGCAGCAGCAATACTTAGTACTAGTCGTAGTATCGACAGCGGCAACATCTTGCATTTTTTCGTCATATTTTCGCATCCTACAATTTCGCGATTCAGCGATTTTTTTTATTTTAATGTGGAAACTTCCATGTGTGCCAGAAGTTCGACGGCGCGACGGAACAGACAGTGACACAGTGGGTGATTGAGTGGAATTAGTGAGATTAAAAAATATCAAAACTTGGCCAAGGCCATTTAGAAAAGTGTGCTACAAATGTGGATGTGTTAAACCGAAAACTGGATATCATGGTAAAGATCTCGGTTTCCTGATTTTCATGAGTTACAAAATAACGCAGAATTGCCAGTTTCTAAGTTTAACTTCTTATTGCTTCGAGCACTTAAAATTCATACCCGCCTCATCTAGAAGTGATCTCGTTTATTTAACTATTCGGTCCTTGCTCATCAAAAAGTTAAAATAAACACCGTAAACTCTTTTATGAGGCAAAACTAATCCGTTTCGTCTATTAAAAAGGTCCGTCCGCTATAAATATCTTAATGAAATTGTCTGGAAACATCATAAACATGTTGACGCAACAGAAAAAAGTTGAACATCGTTTAACTTTTGTATATGTCAAGTCCGGCAAGGCAATGACTTATGCGCTGCTAATGAAACAGCTGATTTTGTAGGTTGAGCTCCTGTCATCATTCAACTTTTATGTACGTCAAATCCGGTAAATCGGCAACTTATGCGCAGTTAATGAAAACTGATTTCAAGACATTAAAATTTACAACCTTGTATGTACGTCAAGACCGGCAATCCGACTTTGTACGCAGTAAATACGAACCAGCAAATTTGAAGCCAGTAAAAGGGTTCGATGCTGATATTGTAGCATACATATCTCGAGTTTGTTCGCTTTATTTCATTTCATTCTCCATTTGCTTAACTCGCATCTGTTTAGCCGCTTGGTTTGAGTGTCGTCAGTTAACTAGTTTCCAGTCCAGTCCAGTTACCTAATGGGTTAAGCTAAAATGTTCCCGATTTTGTCAGACCAGGTTAGATTAGGTAGCAGAGCCGCAAGCACTACACTTCGATATTGCTTCCAATCCAACCAATCTATCCAATCGAATTACTACATTGCCAAGTTTGCCCAATCGTTTCCAACAATTTAAGAGTTCTGATATATCGGCCGCTATGGCTAAGTGGTTAGAGGTGCGTACTACTACTCCGCAGGACCTCGGTTCCATCCCAGGCGCGAGAAACGATTTCTCTAACAGCGATCGCCCTCGGCAGGCAACGGCAAAACCTCCGCATGCATTTCTGCCTTGAAAAGGCTGCTCATAAAACCACTTTGGTCTTCTTTGCTGTCTAGACTCCATACACTAAAGTAGTAAAAGCATACCAAAGCAGTTTATTAAATTAAGTATGTTTATACCATCCGCATTTTTATCTGCATAATACCACTATGCCACGAGCAAATCTTGGCGATGTGCTTGCTTTCCTGTGTGCGCGCATCCGGCACATTACAATTGCGAACGTATGTATTCTCACCTCAGCGCCGCTGCACCGCAACTCATCACCGACGAGCGAAATTTTTTGAAAAAAAAAAATTAACATATTGCGCGATTAAAACAAGAAATATCGGCATCGGTTTTCATAAACAAGAAATTGCTGCTTTTGGAGGCGCGAACGCTGTAAAAGGTGTTTTGCGTTGTTACTGTTACTGTATTATTGTTGTGCTTTTGCGCATTTTGCGTGCTCATCCACAGCTCGCGCGTCGTGCGGAACCCAAGCAACAACGTCTCAGACAGCCTACAGCTGCGCATACATACATAACTTCAATATGTGGTGCTGCTGCTGTTGCCGCGCGCCACTGAAGATGCTGTGTGTGGGTTGGGCGCAGCGTTGCGCGTTTTGCTGCAACCCGTTTTTAGCGGGGGTACGTCGCACAGCCGTATGGATACACGTCCGCAAGAAACAGTGGTACGTCGTCAGCGGATGTGTTTGTTTATTTGTCTTCTTTTATTATGAGTTTCTTTATGTATGTATGAATGTGTGTGTGTATGTTGAAATCACCACAAAACGATTTGCATTTACATATTTCGTTGTCGATTTTCGACTTCAATACGCCGCGAACGAATTCCCAAGCGGAAGTGTGCATTCGAATACACCCACACGCCAAGTGAATTGCTGCCTGCTGCCTGCTTCTGCTGCACCCTTTCGCCCCGTTAGTTCCGCGACTTTTTCTTTATTATTATTTTTGATTTGGTTTTGTATAGCCGCAGTAGTCAGTAGTCTCGAATATCGATTTCGTAAACTGTATCTCATGTTAATAATATTTGTTTGCTAACTTTTTTTTCTCTCTCTCTCCTACTTCCAGATTCAGTTCGTACGCTCGTTCGTTCATCGTAGAGCTAGCTAGCTTGCGCGCGACTTGTTTAGCAGCAGTGTGCTGTCTGTGGTCGACCCAGCGACCCAGTAGAGCAACAGCAGTCGTATTTCCGTGTGGCGTTGGTCAACACAAACTATTAAAATCGTGCACGCGCGTCTGGTGGTTCAAAATGAAAATGCTTCCCGTACAGCTGTCGTTGAATCCGCCGCTCGGCCTCTGGAGTGATATGTTGTGGCGTTGCCCACCGGCGCCCTCAAGCCAATTGGCCGAATTGAAGACACAACTACCGCCATCATTGCCATCCGATCCACGTTTGTGGGGTCGTGAAGATGTCACAGTGTTTTTGCGTTTCTGCGAGCGCGAATTCGACTTGCCCAAAGTGGATCATGATCTCTTCCAAATGAACGGCAAAGCGCTTTGTCTACTCACACGCGCCGACTTCGGTCACCGTTGTCCGGGCGCAGGCGATGTGCTGCACAACGTACTGCAAATGCTCATCATCGAGTCGCACATGATGCAATGGCACTTGCCTAACAGTCCCGTCACACCTACCAGCCGCTACCCGCTCTCGCCGCATAGCCATCCGCCGACGCCAACTTGGCCGCCCATCGGCGCGCCGCCAGACAGTCCCTTCCATAATGCGCACATGCATCACTTCATGGCGCCCAATTCGGTCACACTCAGCCCGCCACCATCGGTGGATTCGCAAGCCAGCAGCCCGCCACAGAGTCAAGAACAAAATTTGGCTGCAGCAGCAGCAGCTGCCGCCGCGTCCGCCGCTGTCGCTTCTTCGTCTTCGGTGAGCACAAGCAACAGCAGCAGTAGTAGCACCAGCAGTGGAAGCAGCAATAGTGGCGCTGGTGGGTTGGGTGCCAGCAATAGCAACGCTATGAGCGTAAGCGGCAACCTTGTGCCACCCGCCATCTCGGTGACCATGAGCGCTGGCAACGACTACTCTGCGCACCATGCGACGACGGCCAGTACTGGCGCTAGCAGCAATCAGTCCGATTCCGATGAAGAGGGCAGTTATGCAGACTTGGCAGCGGCCAATAGCTTGGCTAAGAGTGGCGCCGCAGCAGCCGTGGTGGCCGCGCACTATGGCGCCAGTCCGCCGACCACACCCATTCTAAAGGACATGCCGCAGAGTTTGTCGCAGCAGATTACCAACAGCTTTGTGAACTCGTGGTCGCAGAGCCAAGCAGCGCAGGTGGCCATGGGACAGAAGTATCAGCCGAATGGGGGCGCTGGCGGTTCGGTCTCGGCGCCGACGACGCCCAGCTATATGCAGCCTGTGAAGCGTGAATTCTTTCCGGAAACAACGGAACCAAATACAAGTAAGTGAAGAGTCATTTTTTTTTGCTTACTAATAATTTCTCCTCTCTCCACCAGATGGTCGCTTGCTGTGGGACTTCTTGCAGCAATTGCTCAACGATCGCAATCAGAAGTACAGCGACTTGATCGCGTGGAAGTGTCGCGACACTGGCGTCTTCAAAATCGTCGATCCTGCCGGTTTGGCCAAACTTTGGGGCATACAAAAGAATCATCTCTCGATGAACTACGATAAAATGTCGCGCGCGCTGCGCTACTACTACCGCGTCAACATATTACGCAAAGTGCAGGGTGAGCGTCACTGCTATCAATTCCTGCGCAATCCAACCGAGTTGAAAAATATTAAGAATATATCGCTGCTGCGCCAAACCGTTGCTGGCAATGGCGGCCCGACAGCAGCAGGCGGCGCTAATGGCAGCAATGGCGCTGGTAACGTGTCTGCGAACAACAACAACAACAGCAATAACAACAATAATGCCAACCATACCAACAATCATAGCAATCCGCCTCCCAGTACAAATTTGAGCAGCACAAATTGGACATTACCGCATCAGCAATCACCACAACGACTTACAGCAGCGTCGCATGGCAACAACGGCAGCGGTAACCTGAACGGCAACAACCACAGCCACAACCACAACCTTAGCCTTAGCCACCCGCACAGTAATGGTGGTGGTGGTGTCGCCAATCAGCATATGAGTCTTCCAGCGGCGGTAGCTGCTGCGGCTGCCGCTGCTTATGGGCCACCACCCACATCGCCGCTCTTCATGCACGCCATAAATGGGGCCTTCCAATACTTGTCGAATACGGCGGGCGCACCACCCAATTCGCCTGCAATGCTACACGCGCCCAGCGAGAAATTTCAATTTGGCGTAGTCAAGGTGGAACACAACAGCAGCGAGTCGCGCTCACCGGATCACAGCGATGAGCTAAAGCCAACCGATCTGAGTGTGGCGGGTAGCAGTAGCGAAAAGCCTTATTCAAGTCCATCGGCAGAGGATTGTTATCCGTAAGTATGCAATGCGCTTGAAGTGGCAATAATATGCAAGCAAGACTAAATGAATTCTCGCTATCTACCTCCTCCACTCTAGACTTATCCGCAATGCTGACGGACTAACCACAATCAAATTGATACGCTACAATAATGATAATGAAACGCATGCAGCCAAGCAGTCAACGCATGAGCAATTGCAACAGCAACAACAACAACAACAACAGCTACAGCAGCAAGCCAATAGCGCTTCAGATTGCAACAACAGTGTTGAGCAGCAGCAACAGCAGCAGCAGCAGCAACATACGCCTATGGACCATACGGATAATGAGTGTCATGAGGATGAGTCCGCCGCTAGCGCCGCGGCCGCTGCTGCGGGCGGCAGTCTAATGCCAACCGATCTGCGCAAATAAGGAGTGAGCTGAAGTAGCTAACAGTATACGACAATATTACTAAGTAAGACGATGGTGAGCCAGGTGTAAGAGAAGTATATGAGTTACTGAAAACGCAGGACAATCAAAGGATAATAGCAAGACGAAGGAAGAGTAGGATCTGAGACGTGAAATATTAAGGCAAAAAGAAGGCCGCTGCGCGAAATGTTTGCAGTGCCTATTAAAAACTGTGACGGTCTTTACAGAAGAATACTTCAGTTTAGCTACTTTTTCTTGCAACAGTGCCAAATCTAGGCTCAAGCATTGTCAGAGCGAGCGAGAGAGAGGGAAACACAATTCAGTTAAAATTGCTTTACGATATGTAAGCAGTAAGTGAACGCAAACATGGCTGAGAGAAAAGAGCATTCGTTGCACTTAAAGAAATTTGACATGGACAGTTTCTTGAAGTTGAGGAAAATGTTCGAAAAATAAATTAAATCAAAAATAGTGATTTCAAGTGTGCAAGCACACCGGCAAATAATAACTGCATACAGATATAGGTATGTTGCATACATAAATACATGCAGCTTAAATATGTATGTAGCGGTAAATGTGTGAAATTATAAGGATTAATAGTATATATGCACATGGATACACACAAACGTTTGTATAGATTGTATATTAACATACAATACATATAGTGAATACATATAAATATATCTATATACATAAAGTAAAATTATATACATACATACAGTTGTCCACAAAATAATAGGAGTGCGATATTTTGACCAGTTTTGGCTATTTGTCTTTTGTTTATTTAATGTTTATTATTTTTTTATAAAAGCCTAGCTGGCTATACAACAAACACCATATAAATTCAGATTTTAAACTTTGTATAAAAATTATAAAAATTTTGCAATTTTTCACCCAAATTTCAAACTTTTTAATCAGAATCTTTAGAAAAAATTCTGGTATGCAGTTTTGTATCACATTCAATTCTAGTCTGAAGAAGTGCAAGTTTCAAGCGGCTAAAAAATTCCGTTGGGTGAAAAATTGCAAAATTTTTATAATTTTTATACAAAGTTTAAAATATGAATTTATATGGTGTTTGTTGTAAGCCAGCTAGGCTTTTATAAAAAAATAATAAATATTAAATAAACAAAAGACAAATAGCCAAAACTGGTCAAAATATCGCACTCCTATTATTTTGTGGACAACTGTATATATATTTAAAACTATATTTACAAAATTATTAATTAAAAAGGTAACAAAAATTAGTAGAGTGTACATATGTACATGCATACTTGATATGTATAATTTAAAAAAACAAAATATTGTATAAATTTAGCAAGAAAAAAGAAAACTATTATTAGTTCAATGTTTTTAGGTATAAAGTTGCATATTTATATGTATGAAAGTACATACATATGCGTTGTTTAAAAATTTTAACATTAATATACTCATTAGTATTGCAACAAAACTAAAAAACAAATACTGAAAATAGTTTTAACCACTCACAGACACACACTGACCAGCGGAAAAAAATTGTTTTATTATTAGATAAAAACACATACACGCACGCTTACACAGCGGTGTATACTAATTTTAAGTAGTATTTGTGTTGAACCAAAAGTGCGGAATTTTCGAAATTTTGTTGAGTTTTAGTAAACAAAGATTGTTTTAAAAGTGCTTTCAAATTATGAGCCAAGAGAGAGAAAGAGAGAGAATTCAACGCAGCGGCAAGCATTTAAAGCTCCGACGATCGCAGAAAGCTTTTAAATTATTTATGCGCTCTCATGTAAAATCTTGAAAAAGCTGTAAAAAGTTTCTGCTACGGGATATATTTTGGCCGTGACTGATGTAAAGCAATATTGGCCAGAGAGAGCTTTTATATTGGGTATGCGCCAACTCCTACACAATTCAGTATTGGCCGGAGGGAATAAAGGGAGCTTTTACCCAATACTCCTTCAAATGAAATCTTTGGAAAGTGGAAAATTTCGATATACTCGTATGTAAAACTAAATCAAAAGCTTAGCAAACAACGCTCCCGCGACAACTAGCAAAATTACAAAAAGCTTTAAAAATCTTCTCATATATACGGGATACATTTTGGACGTTGTCGATGCAAAGAAAAAAATGGCCAGATTATTATACTGTGAAAGCTTTAAAAAGCGCCAGCTTCTCCAAATTCAGCACTGGCCAGAGGGCGAAAAAAGAGCTTTTACCCGATACTCCTTCAAATGAAATATGTATTAGGAAAGTGAAAAATTTCGACATAATCGAACGCAAAATTATGTAACTCAAAAGCTCGGCAAACAATACTCTTGCGATAACTAGCAAAATCGCAAAAAGCTCTAAAAATCTTCTCATACAGGATTAATTTTGGACGTGACCTATGCAAAGCAAAATTGGCTAGAGAGAGCTTTTATTCTCTGAAAGCTTAGAAAAGCGCCAGCTTCTGCATATGGTGCTTTAAAACGGTCAATTTCGACAAACTCGTATGTAAAACTAACTCAAAAGCTTAGTAAACAATATCCTGGCGAGAACCAGACAAATTACTAGAAGCTTTAAAAATTGTCTGCTATAGTATAGACTAACGTAAAGCTATATTCAGATACTGCAGCTCCTCAAAAAAGCAGTACTGACCAAGGAGCGAAGAGAGCTTTTACCCGAGAAGTGGCCAAATTCGAAATGCTCGTAAATAAGGCTTACATAAAAGCTCAGCAACATTACAAAAAAAGTTTTAAAACTTTTAAAGTTCATTTGCTCAGCAACTTTCAAAGAGAGAATGGGATTTAAATTTCACCAAGGCTAACGGCGTGAAAGAGGCTTCGTAAAAGCTTCAAACATGCATCGCGAATGTGAAAGCGTAGAAATTAAAGTTATTGGCAGCATTGAGAGTCTAAGTCAAAAGCTGGAATTTTCTAAGCTCGGCGGGTTTTATGAAAGCTTCGATAACTTATGCAAGCTCCTTTTAATTAAAAGTGACAGCAAAGCCTGAGCGACGTATCGGAAACTAGAGTTTTATAATCACTTGAAGTGTTTGTGAAAGCTAGA